CAACTCACGTTTTGCAGTAAAACTTATTTGTGCTTGGATGAGTTCTCCACCCCCCCCCACGGCTGTATCAAAATGAGCGTATTTTGCAAAACTGTAACAGAATTTTTTTCGCACACGAGTCACATGATGAACAACCAGATGTTGCTACTGAGGGAAACCACAAAGAAGACGACGACAGGAAGTGCGTAGGAGGATGACGTTTTTTAACGACTTATCGCGTGAACAAACTTATCCACGTCCGATTTTAACCGCATCTCTAATTAAATGGAAACACCCCAATTGAGAAATAGTTTTTTTTGACATTAGCGGAATATCAACAAATTTGTTATGGAAACACAGCTGCTGTCACACACCCATTCTTGGTGAAATAGTTTTCTTGGCCAAATTTGAAAGTCTAATTTATTTGGAACACAACAGAACCGGCCACCTGTCCATCCTCCCCTCAGCTAGCAGTCGCTTTCTTTCCTGTAACGTCGTAGAAACAAATCTCTGCTTTCAGGAGACGAAACGCCCCGCCCCTCCTCCCCTCACCCTTCAGTTCTCCTCCGGTGGCGTTGCTCCATGTGAGCTGGTCTGGTGGAAGGAATTGAATTAGGGCCACTGCCTGTAATTGCCAGAGTCTCGCCACATAAATCAAGGAAATAAATATTGGGCTTGCAGGATCCTCCAGGGATATGCCACTCTATTTCCTAAGCCTCCCAGTCCTCCTCGTCCCTTCCCCCCTCCCTCTGCATGACTGCTTTCTTCTGCAGGACCTCTCAGAGGTAATCAACTTGAGAGCTGGTTCTGCTCTGGCCAGCATATTTTACGGTTGCCACGCCGCCGTTTGTGTACAGCGCAGCCCTTCATGACGATGCAGACTGGCCGGGAACTTTACATTTAATATCCAGTCTGTCTCAGCCTTCCCTCTCTGTTGTTTCCCTGTTGCTCTCTCACTTTTTCTCTCTACTGGTTAAGCTAAATCCTGATGGTACATTTTGTCTTTGAAACAGTTTTACAACACTAATCACGATCCACGCCAGTGCAGGGGCGTCCAAACCTTTTGTCGCGTGGGCCAAAATTGTCGATGTGTTTAAGAAACGCTTGAAGTTTCGATTTCTTTTTGGGGCCTGTTTGAACAAATTAACCCTTTCATGCCTAGCTGCAGATATCTATCTAAAAACCATTTACTTGTGTTTCTTGTGGATTTTTATGTTAGAAATGCACACAGACCACTGATGTGGTCACTAGTGCATCATATGATACACTGCCAACTACTGGCCATTAGCTGCAAGTGCAAGAAATGTTTTGTTAAATCCATTATGGCAGACAGACAGTCTAGTGACCCCTAGAAAACAATACTGCTGATGTATTTTCCAAATAACAACTTTTTATTTGGAGAAATACAAAATTGAAATAATTTTTTATGCTTTAAGAAAATCTAAAACACTTTGGGAAAAAAAGATCTCCTGACATAAAGCATCATACTTCATGCATGAAAGGGTTCATTTTCAGTCATAAGGACAAGATTTGGATTGCTGTGTTTCAAAACACTGGCTGTGTTTAGCCAAGTCTAATAAATTGGGTCGATGCTGATTTGGGTGCAGGAAAGTCGGATTTTTGTTTTCTTAATATTTTCAAATTATTTCAGAAAGAATTTAACACCGATTTGAAGTAAGAAGTCTTCATCTTCACACAGTACAGCCCATCGAAAGAACAAGAAAAATAGGCGATGAGCAACATTAGACGAGGGTAGACAGGTGCATGCTGGGTGCCTGCAGTTGGAGGCCACACAAAATCAGTCAAAGGACCAGAAATGGCCCCTGGGCCACACTTTGAACACTCCCTGGTTGCCCTAGTGTTACATTCAGTGTTTTTTTTTGTTTTCTTCCTTTCTTTCCACAGGTATTATCTCCACCTTCCTCCATGTCCATCCGTTCGGGGCCAACCTCGAGTATCTCTGGTCGTACATTCAGCGGCTGGACTCAAAGGTATCGATGTCGCGCAGCTTTGAAAGAGTCAGTAAACATTTCTATTGAAATGTTAAACGTGTTAAAATGTATGTGATTAGTTAACTGAAATTAACACATTAAATTTCCTAGTTGAAAAGAATAATAAAAAAAAATTATCTTGTTATAAAAGGCATTTAAAATATTGATTGTGGAATGATATGATTATAGTGCAGATCAGTTCACAGTAGTTTTGATCCAATGATGTTAAAAATTGTGTCTTTTAGACGACATTTAAGGAATTTTCAGTTTTCAAAAGGGTGGAAACGATGATATAATTTTAATTTGGAGTGAGGTTTGTGCAAGTTTTGGTTGCATCTAGGATCCGGTTACTGTGGGTAAAATGTCGGCTCGTCTCTGAGGATGTTGTCACTGTCGTAACTAAACGGCAACAGAAACAAGCAAAAGAAGCTCGATTGATGATTCAGCACTGAATCTTAAACAGATCATCGCTTTGTTTCTCAAAAACCAACATTTTCTCTCAACGAGACTTAGATTTCAAGAGACACAGCAGATGCTAACATTTAGACACTGGGTTGAGCGGCTCTGTCCTCACAGCGTGTCTTCTGCTGCCCTCTGCCAGGTGTCTGCCGGGGAGCTGGAGCGCCTCATGGTGCGTCTGCCCAGCATGTTCCGACAGGAGCTGAGCGGCGTCGGGGCGACCTTGGAGAAACGGTGGAAGTTCTGCGGCTTCGACAGCCTCAGCTCGGCGTGACGCGGGGACCGCGCGCACGCCGCAGACACCCGCGATAAGACGCTCGCGCGCGTGCATGTGCTCACGCCTACGGAGGTACGGTGAACGTGGATGGAGCGCTGGAACTCCCGGACCAGACGGACGATTAAAGCCGAAGGGAAGTCCTACGGGACGTTGGAGTGAATTTGTGATCCCTCGTAAAGATGCGGTGAACCCCGACGGGACACAACTACCTTTGAGGATTAACACAAGTCTTGAGGAAGACTTCCTGGCTGTCTTGCCTTTGACAGCCAGGAACCAGGAAGCCTGCCAGCAGGAACGCCATCCACAGAAACATGGATAGGAAAACCTGTATACCAAAGTTGACCCTGTAGAGATTTCATACCAGACCTCATTTTGTTGAACTGATGAGTGCAAACCCTTTGCTCCCATGTTGTAAAGAGACTGAGTACTTTTGCCAAATTTTTTTGCTGGGTATCCAGGAGATTGAAGCTGGCAGCACTGTTAAACCAGGACTTGGAGTCGCCTGGAAAGGTGTTTGTTCATCTTTCAAACATTCACAGACACCTTTGGTGGCGATCCGGTGGCAGGTTCTGATGTTTTCTAAAGTTAAACCCGTTTCTTCATCTCCTGTAGAGTGGTCAACAGGCGTTAGGGCATTTCTCCTTTTTAATACCGGACAGCTTAGAACTGCACTGATCTGTCAGCTTCAGATATTTATTTGTGTGAACTATGAAGACTTTTGTTCTTTCAGGTTGTCCTCTCGACAGTACTTCTCTGTCCAGATTTGGTGCATTTCGTTTCTGTTGCCTTTAATGTTGAACTTGGTGTGTGCCGAAGACACCATAAATGACATTAAAGACTTTTAAGGTAAAGTTTTTTCAGAGTTTTTAATGGGTTTTTGTTGTTGTTTTGCTTTCACCCAGATCCAATAATAGCTCCAAAGCTCTGTTAGCGTAACGGCTGCAGAGGGAACACTTTAATACTTGCAACATTCTGGTCTGGTGTAAAAGTGTCAAAATAGAGAAAAATAACAGATGACAAGATTTGTTTGACTTTCTGCAGTTTAGATTTGTGGCCAGGGGCCAAACCAAAATTCGGGTCGGGCATCTGTGACATAAGCTTACGATGCGTACAACACAGAGAAAACTAAACAGGAATGCATGATATGAAGTCGTGCTAATCTGTTATACTTTAATTAGAGGAGAAGGCAGCTTGACTGCTGAAGAGATAAAGAAACGAAGGGGCAGAAGTTCCTGAGCCTGTAACGAGCGCAGCACACTCACAAAGCGCACGCAGCTCCACCCCGTTCCGCTCCTATCAATCACACATCCCAGATGATTGGCTCTTGACTCACCCAGCATTTCCAACAAGCAACAACATGCAGCTGGAAGATGTGAAACAAAAGCTAAAAACGGGAGAAGTTACACTGCTTACTCAAATTATAGTTAAAATAAAAACTTAATTAAAATGATATGTTGGGTTTACTTCAGGATACGTTAACTGGTCGGCTCTGACATAAAGTCCACAGGGTTGGGTCGGTTGGGTGGGAGCCCCACCCTGCTTTCGTGTGTGTGTGTTAGTCAGACTGAGTTAGCCCTAGGATACACAGATTGCTCCCATTAACATATTAACTCATTAAGAGCAAAGTGTGCAACTTGCTCTCGACTCTGAGTCGGGTATTATTCAGTGACTCATGTGGAGCCACAGGTCTGTTGTTTTACCAACTTCAGATTTAAGGTGACCTTTAGAAACCTCCTCTGACTTTATGAACCCCACACCAAGACAATTTTACCACCACTGAATAAAACAAGATTAAGGTGACTCAAATAATTGAAGGTCCACAACTTCTCTAAAATGTTATATGCTCCTATAAGTACTAGTATCCCAGATAAACATTAAATGTGTTACTGGTAATGAACTTGACGCTATGATCAGTTTGTTGCCAGAGTCTTGAAGGGTTCATCATCTACTCCTACAAAAAGAGGGAACTGGTTCCACAATAAAGGTCCAAAATTCAACAACACATTCATTTTCAGGCTATGAATCCACAATATGGATGTTGTTGGACCCAAGAACATCAAATGTGAAGGCAAGCACCTTAACTGTGAGACATCATAGCTGCATTACTTTGGCACCGCTGACGTAAAATTTGAGATTACAGTAATATGCACAGACCTGCAGCGTCAGTCTGATCATCAAAATAAGAACTAGTAATTCATCAGTTTAATTTCCATCAGTGCTTTTGTGGCTTCAGTCGGATGTGGAAAACATCCCTATTCAAGGGAAAATGGAGCAAAGATGACATGTGATGGTCGCAGAGCGTAAACTCAAAGGTCTAAACGCGGAGCCTCATTTCCTCTGCCAGATATTTTGGGATCAAAAATAAATAAATGGTACTGCGGAGAGGAAAAGGAAAGAAAAAAAAAGCAGATGCTCCAGGGTTTGTAATAATCCGAGCAACTACGTGTGAAAACACTGCGGGCTTCTTTTTCAGTGCCTGCTTCCTGCAGAGAAAACTGTGGACTTTGTAAAAGGATGGATAAAATGCAGAAAAACAACACTTCAGAGAATGCAGCATGAAGGGGATGAGAAGGAAAAACGGAGCAAGGTAGAATGTGTTCAGTAAAACCTATTTTTATATTTACCATTCTTTATAATTTATTATGTTTTGCTGTATGAAGACGCTTTTCACAAGAGAATGCAGGTTTTTTAAGTTCAAAGTTTAAATTACAACTGGCTTTTTCTGGCTTTGAAAAAAAGAAAGATATATTGATATCCGATATTGCTTTTGCTGTTATAGCCGATAACCAATATTTACCAATATTGTATATATTTTATATATATTTTACTACCCTTCAACACCTTGAAAATAAATGACCACCCCCACTGACTTCACCACTGCTTCAGTTAAACTTCCCACAATGCAGTGCTGCATCACTATCTGCGTTTCTGTTAAAAATAAACGTCGTTCCGTTAGTTATCGATATTCCACTAATTTAAAAAAAAAACAACACACAATTTTGCAATTGCGGTGTTTCCACTAAATAAGAAATGCAATTAAAATCACATAAGTACGTTTGTTCACGTGATAAGTCATTAAAAACATGGTGCACCATCAACATCCTATCACTTCCTGTTGTTGTCTTGTTTGTGGTTTCCAACAGTAGTAACATCTGGTTGTTGAGCGTGTGATGTGAAAAAAGTGCTGTTTTGCAAAATAAACTAATTTGGATAAGGGTGGGAAAAAAATCCCACCTCATAGTAGCACCAAAGCTTTTTTCCAAAATTGACATTTTTCTGAATTAATTTTCGAATTGTCAGATTTCGTTTTTCTATGGTTAATGGAAACAGAGGTACTGTCACGTGACCAAAGATCACAGGACCAACCTTCTCTCCTTCCCCTGCAGAAACAAACAGCAGCAATATAAAGATAAATATTGTTTGTTAATATCACCCAAGTTTTATTTATTGGCCAATTCCGATATTAGTGCCGCTATATCAGCCAGCAGTAATTAGCAAACACCTGGTGAACTGAGCATCGGCTGAGCTCATTACAGGAGCTACTTCTGAGTAAAACGCTGGTTAAAACATTGCTAAAGGGTTAATAGAGGAGCAATGTTACGATGACTTCCTGTAGAGGAGCTTCTTAAAGTGACAGAGACCTAATTTCAAAGTATTAAATTAGGAAGTCAATTTGCTTTAGTCATTTTTAAGATATTTTTATATTATTTTTTTTAACAACTGAAGGTAATATAGTTACTTGACTGTGTTATAAAATGTCACTATGTGCTTGGAAAACACATAATAAAGCCACTTTAATGAATAAATAGGAATGTTGTGAGGACTTCCTGGAGGCGGAGTTTCAGAAAGAGCAGGAGCTTCTTAAAGAGACAGAGGCCCAATTTCAAGGCGTTAAATTATAAAGTCATATGTTATTTCTACCAAACAACACACAGACTGCTGCGACAGAGCAGAAATCTCACCAGAAATCTCAGCTTAAATTGCACTCAATTTAAGCTATATTAAGTGCAATAACTTGAAAATTTAGAAATGTATTTACAGAGAGGTTATATAAATAAGAAGCCATGCAGCAGGGCAACACACTGATCCGCCTAATGAATGCAGCCTACAGGATGATTTAAAAGTCTGTTCATGACCACTGAGCCGCTCCTGATGCTGCTGATGCAACCCAGGCGTAACACACCCTGCTGTGATATGCGTGTGGGTGTGTGTGTGTGTGTGTGTGAGTGAAACTCTAACATCACTGCAGAGCTTGTTACAATCTTGGGTAAAAGCGAGTGAATTTCTGAGCATTTTTTCCTCTTTCTCTGCCTCCAAAGCTCCTCAGTGTGAAGAAAATGAATTCCCCAGAGGATTCCCTGACTCACACACACACACACACACACACACTCACGCTGGTTTTCATTGAAGTACGGCTTCACTGCGGCGCGGCGCTTTCTTCCATTGAACTTCCTCCAGTTGCTCATCGTGTGTTCGCAGAAAAGCTGCAGGAGAAATGTTTTAAGACGATTAATTGGAGAAACTGCTTGTAGAAAAACTGAGGTCAGCTCATTTTTCTACATGCTCTGATTGGTCGCTAATTAATGCCAGTGTGTTTACTGTGTAGTCATAACGCAATTTAAGATGAAGGAACAGCAATCGATAGAGAACTGAACACCCAGCCCTCTGCTGTGGGTGTGTGTGTGTCAGCATTGTAGTTGTAAAGGTTGCATGGTTTCACAGTGATACATGTCTAATGGTTTTGAGTTATAAGACACTGTTTTAGTTTGTGTTTACAGGGCAGTCGCCTGGACAACACCGAGAAGGAACCAAGAGCGGCGCTGTTGGGAGATAATATTTCCTTAAAATGATGGGATATCTTTACTTGGACTGATAATCGAACATTTTCAGCTTTTCAAACTCAGGAAAAATATATACAGAAAAAGAAGACATCTTAAATATATTTTAAATATAAAATGTGTCTATTTTTGGACAGTTTTGGCTTAATTACTGCTCTGGCTGTGTTGTTATTTCAGAAAATGGCTTTTTTTTTTTTTTTTTTTTTTTTTTAGGGTTTTTTTTCCCCAGTTGAATTTTTTTTGGTTTTTAAATTTGCCGAAGATGACTTCAAAAACT